GGAGCCCGAGCCCGGAACGGCCCGACTGCTGAGCTCTGAAGTGAGGCCCAAGCCCGGCCCGTACTCGGGTCGGGCTCAGGCCTGCTCGGGCTCGGGCTGAAAAGCGAAACTCTACCGCCCGGGCAACGAAGGAGTGGCTCTGTAAGAAGCATTTGAAAGTCCTGGAGTGGCCTATCCAAGCTCCAGACCTCAACCCCATTGAAAATCTGTGGAGGGAGTTGAAAGTCCGTGTTACTCGGCGACAGTCCAGAAACATGGAGGAATGGGCCAAAATACCAGCTACTGTGTGTGCAAACCTGGTAAAGACCTTTAGTAATCGTTTGACCTCTGTTATTGCCAACAAAGGTTATATTACAAAGTATTGAGTTGAATTTTTGTTTTTGACCAAACATACATATTTTCCACCATAATTTACAAATAAATTCTTTAAAAATCCTACAATGTGAATTCCTGGATTTTTTTTTCACATTCTGTCTCTCACAGTTGAAGTGAACCTACGATGAAAATTACAGACCATTATTTTAAGTGGGAGAACTGGCACAATCGGTGGCTGACAAACACTTTTTTGCCCCACTGTATGTATTAATACTTTTGGTTCAAGAGCACACAAGAAAATGTCAGGCTCTGGTAACCATACATGAGCACATGAAAAGGCATAGTCGCCTACACAGGGAAACAACATGATGAGAACAACAACATTCGAGTTCATCATCGCTAGCGCTAGCATTCTAGCTCTGTGCAGTACAAAAATGCATAAACTCACCAGTTCCCTCTTTGATTTCACACACACAGTGATAACAGCGTGTCACAATGATTGTAGGAGGCGTCTGCAGTGAATGGCACACCAGTTACTACTTTGAATGTGCAAAAAGAAGTTTAAATTGCGCATACACCTGCAGCTGCTGCCTCCTGGCTCCACCCACAGCTACACGGTGTGTGTGTGAGGGAAGCACGCAGCTTATCCCCGCGGTGGTGTCCGCTGGGTCCTAGTGCCGGCAGCCAAAAAGCGCTCAAAAAGCGCTCAGACAGACTTATTTTTAAAACAGGACAGATACAGTGAGACCCCTGGTCTATATGTACCTGTCTCTCTGTGTCTATATGAATGAATGAATTAATATTTTATTTAAACCTTTAAGGATCACCTAATTTCGCCTGCTCCTTCTCAAATTATGATACCCAAATGGAAATGCTTATTGTGTGGACATCTTGTGTCTGATGTTGTGTTATGAGGCCTCATTTGAAAGGTAACACCTTCTAGTTTCTGGAAATGTATGTTACAGTTTGTTAGGAAGGACACAGTCTGCACTACAGCTTCTCAAACATGAGTCAAAGTTAGTTTTTTTTGTCTCAAAAAAAGAAGGCAATTTCAAAAGGTTCTCCTGAAGACATACTTTATGGTATGATGTTCAAACTCACCAGAGCAGATGTTTGTGGTGTTGGCAACACCTGTATGAAATTTTAGACCTTTGGGTGGAACTATTTTGATGCTGGGGGCTTTTTTGTAACTAATGGGCACATTCGGCACAAGTGGTCCATTTTTGTGCCAACTGTGCCAAAGTGTTTTACATGCAAATTATCAATGTTTTTACACCAAAAATCCATTTATATATTTTTTTGGCTATTACTCTTGCTATAAATAGCATTTTTTTCCAGATATTGAAATGTTTGCAGAAAAGCTATTATTTATATAGTTATAGCGCGTGTTCTCCGTGAAAAAGGCTCCGTCTTCCTCTTTACGCATTCAAATATGACGGGAACAGTGGGAGGAAGCTAGAAGTCCGACACATCGCCTGAAACCTGAGATTATTGGCTACAAGATGATTTGATTGACATCCAAATCGGCCAATGGTAGTCAAGACAATGCTGTCATGACGCACAGATATCTATGTGAATGGAGCGCTAAAGCTAGGTGCGCTTGTTTTACTCAACTTACTCTACCTTCCAAACCATAGCACTGAAAAGTCCGGGAATGGGCTTGTTTTGAAGGGGAGGCTTAGGGGAAGACGAACATACCCAGTGACGCTAGCTAAACGGTAAAATGTCCCCTTCATACAGTGCGCAAAGAACAGGTTTTGTTTTTGTTTGTGCAACTTTCAATACTCAAATATGTTGTTGCAAGTGGATATCTACTATAAGGATGACTTTGAAGAAAAAAACAACTGGATATAATTATTCTCTAGACCCTAACGAGCAAAACGAATGCACACATGTGTGGATTAGACGTGATTTGCCCCAGAATATTAGCATGACAAGGTAAGAAAGGACAATATATATTTTAAATATATATACAGTTTGACTACTTATTCTTACTTTTGGTTATATTTAATGTTTATTTGAACATAATACGTGTATAGAGGTGGGAATAAGCTTTCAAAAGAGATATAGCTTGACTATATTGACACAAGTGAATTCTAATACTGATGCTGTTAAATGAAAAATAACTGAATCCTCCCTGTACAGGGAGGGTGATCCTTAAAAGGGTGTCATGCACATATGTGCCCAGCCCACATGGGCTTATATGACACTATAAACATAACTTGGAAGACGACCATTTAAACAATATGTTCAATATACAATATACATTTTACATTTTCACAGAATATACATTTCACAGAAAAATCAAGAATCTGGATACAAAGCTTTAAATCTCATTGTCCAGGCTTTCTCCACATATCTTGCCAAACAAAAAATTGAATTTCTAAATAACCAACTCAACATATCACCTTCTGCCAACCAAAATAGATCAGGATTACTGCATTCGACTCTTTCAAACAAAGCTGTTCTTAAATCATTATACAATGGACAATAGAACATAAAGTGAAATTCATCCTCCACCACACATAGACACAAACATTACAAAGTCTGTTCTCTTCAGGTACCCCTCTGTAACGACCCACCTCCACCTCTAGAGGCAGCACTCCTGCTCTGAGCTGAGCACACAGAGACCTCTGTCCTCTTTTCAAATTATATTTCACATAAATCTCTGTTGAAAAACATTCTTTAATCTGAATATAAGTTCTCAATTACGGTTTTCTTAGCAATTCAATTTTCCACTGCTCTTTGTAATGATCAAATAGTATCTGCCTGTGGTTTGTTATTTTACACTGTAAATTATTCCAAAACAATGTTTGTGAATTTATTTTTGTGAATATTTGAAGGACCTCCTGAGACCAAGGACATTTATGAGTTTTGTCCCAATTAAAGACTTTCCTAGTGAGTCTCTCCTCCGGTAATTGAACCAGACGGTTCCAAAGTCTTAACATTTCAGCCCACTGTTTCACCACGCAGGGTTCCCAGCCCATGTCTCCCTCTATGGCTGCCTTGGGAGTGAACTTATGGACTCCAAGGAAATACCTCATAGCTCTGCTTTGGACAGAGTTGCTCTCTGCAGCATCCTGAAAACCCCATACTCCAGCAGCATAGAGCAAAACAGGAGCTACCATTCTATACCGGGAGCTACCATCCATGTCTATATGTACCTGTGTCTCTGTGTCTATATGTACCTGTGTCTCTGTGTCTATATGTACCTGTGTCTGTATGTACCTGTGTCTCTGTGTCTATATGTACCTGTGTCTCTGTGTCTATATGTACCTGTGTCTGTATGTACCTGTGTCTCTGTGTCTATATGTACCTGTGTCTCTGTGTCTATATGTACCTGTGTCTCTGTGTCTATATGTACCTGTGTCTGTATGTACCTGTGTCTCTGTGTCTATATGTACCTGTGTCTGTATGTACCTGTGTCTCTGTGTCTATATGTACCTGTGTCTCTGTGTCTATATGTACCTGTGTCTATATGTACCTGTGTCTGTATGTACCTGTGTCTCTGTGTCTTTATGTACCTGTGTCTATATGTACCTGTGTCTCTGTGTCTATATGTACCTGTGTCTCTGTGTCTATATGTACCTGTGTCTGTATGTACCTGTGTCTCTGTGTCTATATGTACCTGTGTCTCTGTGTCTATATGTACCTGTGTCTATATGTACCTGTGTCTGTATGTACCTGTGTCTCTGTGTCTTTATGTACCTGTGTCTATATGTACCTGTGTCTCTGTGTCTATATGTACCTGTGTCTCTGTGTCTATATGTACCTGTGTCTATATGTACCTGTGTCTCTGTGTCTATATGTACCTGTGTCTCTGTGTCTATATGTACCTGTGTCTATATGTACCTGTGTCTCTGTGTCTATATGTACCTGTGTCTCTGTGTCTATATGTACCTGTGTCTGTATGTACCTGTGTCTCTGTGTCTATATGTACCTGTGTCTCTGTGTCTATATGTACCTGTGTCTATATGTGTCTATATGTACCTGTGGCACCTCCTGTTCCCAGAGGTCTCCCATCACAGTACTAACCAGGCCCTGCCCTGCTTAGCCTCAGAGGTCTGACAGGACCTGGCTCTGACCTGTTTACACACTTTAACAACAGAAATATTAGTTTCTGTGATTTTGAAGTTCTTTAATCTTTTCCCCGTGTCTCAAACCAGACCGTGGCGTTCCCGCTGTCGCCATGTGTTCACCGTGGCGTTCCCGCCGTCGCCATGTGTTCACCGTGACCGTTACCAAAGCCATTCCTCGCCTATTTCCTCATTCCATATCTAATAAAAGACCTCCCCACGTATCCAGAGATGTCGGATCTAATTTCTCCAATTAAATTAAATCCATTCTGCGGTGACGAACGTTAGCCTGAGGACAGCGTTAGCTAATCCCATTCTCCTCAGCCTTAAACCGTCTCACCAGAAATACAGACGCTTTCAACGAACCATGTGTCAACGAACCATGTGTCACGTTCATCTGACAGAGACAGTGTAGGGCCGGACTATCAGTGTGCACAGAGAGGGGCCCTGGGGGGGTCGGTGTGGGGGGGCGGGGTGTCCCTATCGCTCCCTGCTGTTAATTAAAACAAACAACTGCCCGTGTCGTGGTCGCGGGCGGCGGGACGGCCGGGCGGTGTGTGTTTGTGCTGCCGGTTCGCCTTCATTACCGCCACCATCCATTCTCCTCAGACTCGGCGCCGTATCGACTCCGGTCCGACACACGGCGAGGCGGGGAAACACAAAGTGGGTGATCTAAATGCAAATGTACGGAGTGATACATGGGAGCAGAGGGAGCAGAGGGACCGCAGTGATACCGACAGCTCAGAGGACCGCAGTGATACCGGCAGCTCGGAGGACCGCAGTGATACCGACAGCTCGGAGGACCGCAGTGATACGGGCAGCTCAGAGGACTGCAGTGATACGGGCAGCTCAGAGGACCGCAGTGATACCGGCAGCTCGGAGGACCGCAGTGATACCGACAGCTCGGAGGACCGCAGTGATACGGGCAGCTCAGAGGACCGCAGTGATACCGACAGCTCGGAGGGACCGCAGTGATACCGGCAGCTCGGAGGACCGCAGTGATACCGGCAGCTCGGAGGACCGCAGTGATACCGACAGCTCGGAGGACCGCAGTGATACCGGCAGCTCAGAGGACCGCAGTGATACCGACAGCTCGGAGGGACCGTAGTGATACGGGCAGCTCAGAGGACTGCAGTGATACGGGCAGCTCAGAGGACCGCAGTGATACCGGCAGCTCGGAGGACCGCAGTGATACCGGCAGCTCAGAGGACTGCAGTGATACGGGCAGCTCAGAGGACCGCAGTGATACCGGCAGCTCGGAGGACCGCAGTGATACCGGCAGCTCAGAGGACTGCAGTGATACGGGCAGCTCAGAGGACCGCAGTGATACCGGCAGCTCGGAGGACCGCAGTGATACCGGCAGCTCGGAGGACCGCAGTGATACAGGCAGCTCAGAGGACCGCAGTGATACGGGCAGCTCAGAGGACTGCAGTGATACCGACAGCTCGGAGGGACCGCAGTGATACGGGCAGCTCAGAGGACTGCAGTGATACCGGCAGCTCAGAGGACCGCAGTGATACCGGCAGCTCGGAGGACCGCAGTGATACCGGCACCGCAGAGGACTGCAGTGATACCGGCTGCTCAGAGGGACCGCAGTGATACGGGCAGCTCAGAGGACTGCAGTGATACCGACAGCTCGGAGGACCGCAGTGATACCGACAGCTCGGAGGGACCGCAGTGATACGGGCAGCTCAGAGGACCGCAGTGATACCGGCAGCTCGGAGGACCGCAGTGATACCGACAGCTCGGAGGACCGCAGTGATACGGGCAGCTCAGAGGACTGCAGTGATACGGGCAGCTCAGAGGACCGCAGTGATACCGGCAGCTCGGAGGACCGCAGTGATACCGACAGCTCGGAGGACCGCAGTGATACGGGCAGCTCAGAGGACCGCAGTGATACCGACAGCTCGGAGGGACCGCAGTGATACCGGCAGCTCGGAGGACCGCAGTGATACCGGCAGCTCGGAGGACCGCAGTGATACCGACAGCTCGGAGGACCGCAGTGATACCGGCAGCTCGGAGGACCGCAGTGATACCGACAGCTCGGAGGGACCGTAGTGATACGGGCAGCTCAGAGGACTGCAGTGATACGGGCAGCTCAGAGGACTGCAGTGATACGGGCAGCTCAGAGGACCGCAGTGATACCGGCAGCTCGGAGGACCGCAGTGATACCGGCAGCTCAGAGGACCGCAGTGATACGGGCAGCTCAGACGACTGCAGTGATACCGACAGCTCGGAGTGACCGCAGTGATACGGGCAGCTCAGAGGACTGCAGTGATACCGACAGCTCGGAGGGACCGCAGTGATACGGGCAGCTCAGAGGACTGCAGTGATACCGGCAGCTCAGAGGACCGCAGTGATACCGGCAGCTCGGAGGACCGCAGTGATACCGGCACCGCAGAGGACTGCAGTGATACCGGCTGCTCAGAGGGACCGCAGTGATACGGGCAGCTCAGAGGACTGCAGTGATACCGACAGCTCGGAGGACCGCAGTGATACCGACAGCTCGGAGGGGCCGCAGTGATACGGGCAGCTCAGAGGACTGCAGTGATACGGGCAGCTCAGAGGACCGCAGTGATACCGACAGCTCGGAGGGACCGCAGTGATACGGGCAGCTCAGAGGACTGCAGTGATACCGGCAGCTCGGAGGGACCGCAGTGATACCGGCAGCTCAGAGGACTGCAGTGATACCGGCAGCTCGGAGGACCGCAGTGATACCGGCAGCTCGGAGGACCGCAGTGATACCGGCAGCTCGGAGGACCGCAGTGATACGGGCAGCTCGGAGGACTGCAGTGATACCGGCAGCTCGGAGGACCGCAGTGATACCGGCAGCTCGGAGGACCGCAGTGATACCGGCAGCTCGGAGGACCGCAGTGATACCGGCAGCTCGGAGGACCGCAGTGATACCGGCAGCTCGGAGGAGACAGCTGGTCTATAGTGATATCAGGAGTCCGAAGGAAAGGGAGAAACTAAGACCTGGATTAACATGTGCAGGAGGTGCCCTTTGAGGAAGAGGAGGAGGAGGAGGAGGAGGAGGAGGAAGAGGAGGAGGAAGAGGAGGAGGAAGAGGAGGAGGAAGAGGAGGATGAGGAAGAGGAATGGGCCTTGTCTCTTCTCATCCTTTTTGTTTTAAATCACACTGAGATCTCTCTCTCCTTGAGGTCATGTATCAGGATCGCTCTGCACACAAATGCAAATCCCTGATTCATGATTAAGACAAATACATAAAATAAGACCGACTTTATTGATCTCTGATGGAGAAACGTGTGACATCACAGACAGAATCACTCAGAAACATGTGACATCACAGACAGAATCACTCAAACATGTGACATCACAGACAGAATCACTCAGAAACATGTGACATCACAGACAGAATCACTCAGAAACATGTGACATCACAGACAGAATCACTCAGAAACATGTGACATCACAGACAGAATCACTCAGAAACATGTGACATCACAGACAGAATCACTCAGAAACATGTGACATCACAGACAGAATCACTCAGATTTGTGTAAAAGACAGAAGTGTGAAAAATGTTAAAGTTAAAAATCTTCTTGTATCGCCGTAAATCACAACAGTCGTTATCTTCGAGGATTCTACAAAACTGTGGAATTCGCCAACACAGATCAGAGAACACCCATCCATCCATTTACTTACGCTTCATCCGTTGCCGGGTCGCAGGGGCAGCAGTCTAAGCAGAGACGCCTAGACTTCCCCCTCCACAGACACTTCCTCCAGCTCGTCCGACCCCAAGGGTCCGGACAAATGTAATTTGTGGAACATGGAAGTATAAAGTATGAAGGTAGTTTGGTGGATGAGAGTCATTTGCTAAAACTGGATCTGCTTCGACACAAAACATTCTCAAACGACTCTAAGACGAAATTTCCGTCTCTTTCTGTGGGAATTAAAAGTTGGATGTGAAAAGGCGTCACTATGTGGGTGACATAAAGGGTGCGCAGCAGAACCATCAAAGCGTGTCCCTGGTTGCCGTGGCAGCGTCAGACTTTGGGCCAGCGATCAGTGTAAACAAACAGCGCTCGCCAAAAGCAAGTTTCAAAGATGGTGCTCGAGCCAAAAGCGTCCGATGCAGTTGTTGGAGGAGGAGGAAAGTTAGTCGTGTTTTTGCCTCCTCGATGTGTCTCCCGCCAAGAGCTTTGGAAACTCCAGATTTTACTTCACTTCAGTTCAGCCTCAGAACCATCGGTGTATTTCCTTATCCATATCTGATCAATCTGATGAGTTCTTTTCTGCAAACACCTCATGATGCTGCAGAGTTTACTCCAGAGTTTGCACCTCTGAAACCAATAATGACCTCTGCCCTTTGGCAACGCACTGCTTGTAATTCAGGTCAGATCACTCCGAAAGTAAGTACGTAATCTTTATTTATATACTGCCTTTCTCAGACCAGAGTCACAAAGCGGTTTACAATTGTTATTATTGGGCATTAGTCTGACTCCACAGAGATGGGAGGGGCCAGTACAGGATGTTCTTAGTGGTCGGGGAAAGTAGTTCCGTCCACTTCATGAACGAGCTTCGGCAACACTGTGCACTGGTGTTTTCTACCTCACAATCAGATCCTGTTTGTGTGCTCTTATGTGCAGAATGATGACATCACAATGTCCTCACTGTGGGGGGTCTTTATCTTACATGGCTCATCGTTCAGATGTATTTATTTTATATATACATCTTTTTTTATAACCGGGAGAAAGGGGAAGTTTTAAAAAGCTGTGGCTTCTTCTTCCTTCAGTTATGTCATTTTCATCCCTTTGTTAATCCATTCCTGGGTCAGAGCTGCCCCCACATCAGAGCACTGACCCCTGATCCTCCTGCAGGTGGGGGGTCCACAGGGAGATGCCTGCTGCTTTGACGAAGTTATGGCCTTGGTGTTTCTGGGGGGGGGCTTCAGGCAAAGTGGGGTTAAGTGTCTTGCCCAGGGACATAACAGCAGCAGACTTCAGTGAGAGCAGATGACATGGGTCGACATGGGGGTTGAACCCACAACCATTAGGTTCAGAAACCAATGCTCGACCAACTGAGCCACTGTCACTAAAAACATGTAAAAAGTACATCTGGAGAATGCCCCGGGCGCTGTTACCACGGTGACCACTGCTCCTGACAGACGCCTCAGTGGCATCTGGGTCAAATGCAGGACACACATTTCTATACAGGGATTAATAAAGTGCTCATTTACACATTTATATCCGTTTGGAGTTTCCCAAAGACCGTTATCATGACAATTGGTCTGCAGCGCGTCTCAGATTTGATATCTTTCCTTGGTAAAAAACAAACAAACAAGAGCGACTGGGAGCATTCTCAGTGAATTCTATCATCAGGACGAGCTGGAAGAGCCAGAGGAAGTAATAACAGCAAATAACGACGAAAACACAACTTCAACAGTTAAGAAGAGACAACTTGGTTACAGACCAGAAAGGTAAAACCAGGAGCAGGAAAACCAAGTGGGACATGAACATCACAAATATGTAAAAAGCATTGGTAAAGACACAGACTGAGAACTTACAGCGGGCGCCTCAATCCTCTGTTCTTCATGTCACAGTTTGACACTTTGGTCAAATGTGTTTTTACTTCAAACCCATCGATATTTGCACAAATTAAAAATAGTCATATAATAAAACATTTATTAACCTCGCTTGTTAGGTCTGTGCAAAAAGGCAGCGGTCTGATATTTCTCTGTACAGACCTCGCGCTCGGTTAATAAGCCGTTAGTGCAGTTAAATCATGAGTTTTCAGACCTTTCTTTGATCTGCAGTGAATTCAACTAGAAACCTCAAGAAGCCACTTAATCAAACCCATGTCTTTGACGCCGTGTTTTGAGTCGCTTAACAAACCCTAACACGAGTTCTCAGCCCTGGCCGACGTTTTACAGCGGCGTCTTTCTCCCAAACAGCGCCGTGTCACTTGTAATGCACTGGTTAGCACCTCATCGCTTCTAAGCAGCAGATAATAAAGTGGAACGGCGACACTGGTCAAATTACTTGGAACGGATGTAACACAATGGCTTAAACATGAAGTGCAAATGGCTCCGTGCTCGTGCATCACTGACTTCTCATGTAGTCGCATAAAGCCTCAGTCTCACTTAATCTGGTCGGTCCAAAGGTCTCGGCTCCCTGCGTCTGGGCCGTGGGCTTTCATCCTCATCCATCAGAACCGCCTGCAGCCAGGAACTAGTCTGTTACGATGGATGGTTTCGGGTACCAGGCTGCGGACACCAGCTGCAAAACCAGGCGTTAGAAAGGAACCAGGAAAGGACATGCTACAGAAGTGTTTTTCTTTTGCTGACGGAGTTAAAACTTGGAATATGATTAATGTGATGGAGAATATAGTAACATTTAGTTCAGACTTACAGGCTTTGGGTCAAGACCAAGGAGGGTTTTGCTGCTCTCTCTTCTAGTATCTCTCTTTCTAGTGTCTCTCTCTGGTCTCTCTTTCTAGTCCCTCTCTCTGGTCTCTGGTCTCTCTCTGGTCTCGCTCTCTGGCCTCTCTCTTTCTGTGGTCTGTTTCTGGTCTCTCCCTGGACTTTCTCGCTCTCTCTGATTCAGATTCATTCATCTATTACGTCGTCTCCCAAGGGAAAAATGTGTCTTGGAGCAGGGGGGTCAGTAAACCCCACAGATACAGACATCTGGTCTCTCTGGTCTCTCTGGTCTCTCTCCCCCTGGCCTCTCTCTTTCTGGTCTCTTTCTGTGGTCTGTCTCTAGTCCCTCTCTGGTCTTTCTCGCTCTCTCTGGCCTCTCTCGTTGGCCTCTGTCTCTCTTGTCTCTCCCTCTGGTCTCTCTCTTGTCTCAATCTCTGGTCTCTCTCTCTGGTCGCTCTCTCTGGTCTCTCTCTCTCTTGTCTCTCTCTCTGGTCTCTCTCTCTCTTGTCTCTCTCTCTGGTCTCTCTCTGGTCTCTCTCTGGTCTCTCTGGTCTCTCTCTGGTCTCTTTCTGGTCTCTCTCTGGTCTCTCTCTGGTCTCTCTCTGGTCTCTCTCTGGTCTCTCTCTGGTCTCTCTCTGGTCGCTTTCTGGTCTCTCTCTGGTCTCTCTCTGGTCTCTCTCTGGTCTCTCTCTGGTCTCTCTCTGGTCTCTCTCTGGTCTCTCTCTGGTCTCTCTCTCTGGTCTGTCTGTGTGTATTTAGCTGTTGTGAACTTTAGAATGCACTCATTAAATGAACGGGGCTAGTGCAGCTAACACATGCGCAAATGTGTTTTTCACATTTTCCATGCGGCCATTTTGAAAAAGCCACAGAAAGTGATGTCACAGTAGTTTCTTAGGCGGAGATGGGCGTGACCACATCTGTAATATTTAGTCCATGGAACCAGCCCAGGCCCTTGGTCAGAATGGACAGACATCTTTGAGACTCAGGTCTCGGTTACGACAACATCCATGGGGCTTTTCCTCTGTGTTTACTTCTCTCTCTGGTTTCTCTCTGGTCTCTCATGGTCTCCCTCTGGTTTCTCTCTGGTCTTTCTCTGGTCTCTCTCTCTCTCTGGTCTCTCTCTCTTTCTGGTCCCTCTCTGGTCTCTCTCTGGTTTATCTCTGGTCTCTCTCTGGTCTCTCTCTCTGGTCTCTCTCTGGTCTCTCTCTGGTCTCTCTCTCTGGTCTCTCTCTGGTCTCTCTCTGGTCTCTCTCTGGTCTCTCTCTGGTCTCTCTCTCTGGTCTCTCTCTCTGGTCTCTCTCTGGTCTCTGGTCTCTCTCTGGTCTCTCTCTCTGGTCTCTCTCTCTGGTGTCTCTCTGGTCTCTCTCTGGTCTCTCTCTCTGGTCTCTCTCTCTGGTCTCTCTCTCTGGTCTCTCTCTGGTCTCTCTCTGGTCTCTCTCTGGTCTCTCTCTCTCTCTGGTCTCTCTCTCTTTCTGGTCTCTCTCTGGTCTCTCTCTGGTTTATCTCTGGTCTCTCTCTCTGGTCTCTCTCTGGTCTATCTCTGGTCTCTCTCTCTGGTCTCTCTCTGGTCTCTCTCTGGTCTCTCTCTCTGGTCTCTCTCTCTGGTCTCTCTCTGGTCTCTCTCTCTGGTCTCTCTCTGGTCTCTCTCTGGTCTCTCTCTCTGGTCTCTCTCTCTGGTCTCTCTCTGGTCTCTCTCTCTGGTCTCTCTCTGGTCTCTCTCTGGTCTCTCTCTCTGGTCTCTCTCTCTGGTCTCTCTCTGGTCTCTCTCTCTGGTCTCTCTCTGGTCTCTCTCTGGTCTCTCTCTCTGGTCTCTCTCTCTGGTCTCTCTCTGGTCTCTCTCTCTGGTCTCTCTCTGGTCTCTCTCTGGTCTCTCTCTCTGGTCTCTCTCTGGTCTCTCTTTATACATAAAGATGACTTCTTTATGACGGTTTTCTTACGTGCTCTCTTTAAAACATGCCCATCTTCCTTCTGCAAATACAAACCTGAACTGGCCCCCTCTTCCCCGTCATATTAGACTGAAATCCCAGCGTGATCACATGACACGACCCCACGCTGCTCTCCAGTAAACCCCCAGTGGTTGTTTGTTTATTAGTCAAACTTTCCGTGCGCTGCTTATTCATCTCTCTGCAGCGGCACTCGCTGCATAAACCATCACCGTGTGTGACTACCTGCTGCAGCCAATCAGCTCCTCCGAGTCAAAAGGGCTCGAGACGCCACAGCTGGGAAGTCCAACACCACTTCCCCTGAAAACACAGCCTCCGTCTGTGTGCACAGCTGCATGGCGGCTAAATGGAGAGGAGCGCAGCTTGGGGAGAGGCCGAGCTACACCCAGCTGTTACCGCTCTCTCGCCACACCAGTCCAAGAGCCAGTTAGTCTACCTTGTTAATTCCCCGCCATGTCCCCAGCCTCCAAATGGTCATCTGCCTCCCACTTCCTGGATCCCGCTGATTCCATCCACCAAAATTAATGAGAAACGGAGGCTCGTGCCACAGTTGGAAGCTTCCATCGTTCATTAGTCTTCATGATCTCTCAGAAAGACCACTTCTCGCACTGATTAGGTCCCAGGGGAGGCTTGTAAAACCCGCGTCGGGCTAATGCTGCTTCACCGCTTTCGTTATCCGACAAAATATCCAGACATATCAATTTCTTAGATTATAAAACATGGGAAATGGACCACGGCTTCTGCAACTCTACACCGCGCCATTTTATTCCGAATGGCTCCGTGCTCTCTCTCTGACGGCCGTAAGATTTGAGTGTCTTGCCTGAAGACACGTTGACAATGTGACCTCTGCTGCATTAGCTGACATAGAAAGCGAAGGCACTTTCCGGCCTGTAGGGAATATACTGTGTAGATGTTTGGTTAATGGTCCGGGGTCTAATGCCTGAGACTGGAGGCGCTCTTTGGCAATCGTGACCAAAGTGTTGGAATGGATACTTACAACTTATTCTTCATACACATGCATTATTATCATTATTGTTATTATTATTATTATTATGACATGCACTGGCAAACTGACTGTGATGGGGTTGTATGCAGACTCAGCACTTTACTGTATATGTAAAGAGTTATAAAATATACAATCAACATGACTCATTCTGTGCTGATAAATCTATTCTTTTTTACGACTTCCACATCACATAAAACGTCCTCTACGCCTCCATTGCATCGTTGGGGATTTTTATATAAGCAAAAGTATGGTGTAATGGAAGTAGCTCAGCATGTTCTCTGCTTTACAAGAGCTCTCTTTGACCCTTGACTGTGGAACAAATGAAATGAAAGTCATAAATATGAATGTTGAGGATGTAAAGTGCTGAAGGGCCCTGTCCCAGCTGCACATTTCTCAGGTATACAGCAGGCGTGCACTTTATCATTGTTTTTGAATTTGGATGGATTTGATCAGGGACTAAACACAATAAAAATAGTCTTGTCATTAATGATGACGTAAAACAAAACACTGCTCCTTTAACTTCCAGCTCCTCTCAGCTCCTCTTTGGCCTTTGGCGTTTCTGGAGCTTCTGGAGCTTTTCTTTTGTCCACCACAGCTTTTCTCCACCTCCTCTTAATCTTTAATCTTAATCTCGATGTCTGGTTGGTCTCGTCTGTTTCTGATCCCATAGAATCTTTGCTCATTCTCGACCCCCTTTGGAGGAGTTTCCCATCATGCAATAGTGTGTTCACAGTGAAGACTCAATTAAAGTGTGAAAGGTTATAACTGTCCATCTATTTTCTTCCCCTTAATCCATGTCTGGGTGGGGGGTGGCAGTCAGAGCACCAGCCCCTCACTGATCCTCCTGCAGGTGCCGAGTCCACAGGAGCTGAGATCTTTCAGTGGGGGCTTCAGGCAAAGTGGGGTTAAGTGTCTTGCCCAAGGACACAACGACAGCAGTCATCAGTGGGAGTCGTGAAGTAGGTCTTATGGTGGGCTCGAACCCACGACCTTCAGGCTCAAAGGCCAATGCTCTACCAACTGAGCCACTGTCGCCCCTGGTTATAACTAACTAAATGACTTTCATAGATTAGAAAAAAAGATTTAAAACACAGACGGATCAAAGACATAATGTGGATAAAAAAGATCCAGATCAGGCTCTGATTGGATCATTTTGTGACTCAGTGAAACAGACAATAAAAGAGACAAAGATGAACTCCACAGATTCTCATTAACAACATCAGGAAATCACACAGCCTTGGTCTTTCAGAGGGGCTTCAGGCAGCTTGGGGTTAAGTGTCTGGCCCAAGGACACAACAACAGCAGACATCAGTGGGAGCAAGTCTTGTGGAACCAACCAAGCCACTGTCGCCCCTTTGTTTTTACTTCTAAAAAAATCTCGGAATCAAATGTGGATGTGAAAATATATTCTGCTTTTTCAAAGGATCAGGTCCGAAAGAGTTACTAAAGAACATGTCCTTTTTGGCCTCTGTCACACTTTTGTACCCAGTGGGGAAATTCACCTGTGTCTCGTTAGTATCACCTGTGTCTCGTTAGTATCACCTGGGTCTCGTTAGTATCACCTGTGTCTCGTTAGTATCACCTGGGTCTCGTTAGTATCACCTGTGTCTCGTTAGTATCACCTGGGTCTCGTTAGTATCACCTGGGTCTCGTTAGTATCACCTGGGTCTCGTTAGTATCACCTGGGTCTCGTTAGTATCACCTGTGTCTCGTTGGTATCACCTGGGTCTCGTTAGTATCACCTGGGTCTCGTTAGTATCACCCGTGTCTCTTAAGTATCACCTGTGTCTCGTTAGTATCACCTGTGTCTCGTTAGTATCACATGTGTCTCGTT